GAATTTATCCAAGTTCTACATACATTTTAAAAATTTAATGCTATTGGGTTTGGAGCTTTTTGGCCGGTTATATTGAATAAAACAAGTGTTTACTTCTTCTCCTACGCGTTTCGACGCATATTCGCGTCTTCTTCAGGGAGTCTATATATTTATAAATACGAAAAACGTATTAATAACGAATAGTTATTACAAGGAGCAAATAAGACAATACAAAATAATTTAACACTAACTACACTTACTTTAATATTAAGCAATAAAATTATCACAACATAAATTAAACATATTTAAAAACATTAAGACACGTTAAGCAACACTGCACATCCTTCATCGTTAAACCTCAGACATTGTGTGTAGTTGCAGTCGCATATGCACAGTTTATATTATCTACGTCTTCTTTGAAGTTCATTGCTTCAGTTATTTTTTGTTGTATGTGCAACCCTTCTAATGTCATCCTTCTTCTCGTTCTGTTCTCCACGTCCAAAACCTTTGCATTGTCAAAATCAGCTGTATGTTTGTTTTCCGTCAGGTGTTGCGCTAATGCTGTGGTACTCTTGTTGTTTTTGGCGTCTAGCTTATGTTCGTTTATTCTCGTTCCAAGCGATCTCTTCGTTGTTCCAATGTAAACCTTGCTGCAGTTTTCTCCTTCTTTGCCTTGACATTTTATTTCGTAGACTACATTGTGTAGTTGTTCCTTACCAATTTTATCTTTTGGTTTGGTATAAATGGCTTAGATAGTGTGATGTGGTTTATGTGCATAGCTTACGTTGTTGTTTTTAATAATTTTGCGTAGTGTTTTGTTGTCCGTAAGTTTAGGTATATATGTGACGCCTGTGTATATTTTGCAATTGTCTTCCTTTGTTTTTGTATTGCCACTTTTACATGTGATTTTGTTTGCTGCTGCTGTTAGTAAGCTTTCTATTATTTTGTTAGGATACCTGTTTTTCCATAGTATGCTTCTTATTTTTCTCTTGTTCTGAGCCATGAACTCCTGGTCACTCAAGGAGTTAACTTTGTTTATAAAATTTATAGCCGTGTTTCTCTTTTGAGTCCATGGGTGGTTGGAATGGTAGTTGATCATCCTTGAGGATGCTACGGCTTTGGTGTACCAATTAGTTTTTAGTTAGGTTTTATTTTTATATATTTCTATGTCTAGGAAGGCTAATTTGTTATCTTTTTCTTTCTCCAGGGTGAATTGTATTTTTGTATGTTGTCTATTAAATATTCTTAAAATCTCTTCCACGTCCTTCATCTTAACTACGGCGAATATATCATCTACATATTTGGTTATGTATTTGATATATATGTCAGTCTCTCAGCTCAATAATGCTGTCGTCAATAATTTTGTCTAAAACTATGTCCGTTGGCGATAGAGGATTACCCATCGGCATACCATAATCTCGCTGGTAGTAAGTTCCATCGTACACAAAGTAATTATTTTCCCTCAGACAAAATTCTAATATCGTTATAAATTGCTTTTTTATGATTTTTGTGTGTTTTTGCAGACTCGACCACTGCTTAATTATTGTGTTGATTGCAAAGTGAATGGGTATATTTGTAAAGAGGGAAACGACGTCCAAGGATATGAGAATTTCATCATCATCAATATGCAAGCAATATGCTCCAAACCCAATAGCATTGAATCTTTAACCTTGGCCCACGGAAAATAATTTTAAAAACTTAGCATGAACAATAGTTTTATTAAAAATTAACAAAAAAAAACTTGAAAATCATTGTAAATATTAAAAACAAAAATACCATTAATTAAGTTTTGATTGCCAGTATATGTATATCTCGAAAAGGATTTTTTGGTAAAGTATACATATGTAACAGTATATGTATTTATGTTCAGCGATTTCAAATAAGCCAAAACAAACTTTTTTTAAGGAAGCATTTTTTTGCTAGTCAACTACAACAATTTCTCATTGAACAGATGAGTCATTAAAGCATTCAGTGGAAACTTATTCATCCGTGATGCTCCCCTACTATTTAATGCAGGTCATCTTCAAACCAAAACTGCAACTTAAATGTTAAAACACTAAAAAAAAAGCAATGGCGTTAACACCTTTGTGCCGTAGGCTACTTCAACTTCTTGTGTCATTAATGGATTGAGCGCTCATTTGCAACGACTAGACCATTTAGTTGCATGTGCAGTATTTAATGGTGAGGCTAAGCACATAACGAACAAAATCCAATAAGAGTTTCCTTTCTTCATGGGTTTTGTGTTCGCTTCTACAAGCAAAAACCGACCAATCAGCACGACGCGAATTCCCCTACGGCATTTGTACTTTTATTGTGCCTTTGTTGTTTTAGTGCTGTGCTACTGTTACGATGGCACAACCGCTTTAAAAGTGGTGCATACGCTTATGAATGAAACTTGTTTTTCACTACCATGTACCTGGGGCGGTTGTGATGAGTCTTTAGGAAGTGAATACTTTTAAAATTGAGAAGTTAAGGAGACGAGTGAATGATATGTGTTTAAGAGAAAGGCAACAAATTTTAAGAGAGCGCGATCAGCAGGGAACGGATTTTATGGAAGTTGCCTTTTTCATGCTAAGAGACAGAGTAGTATTGAATAACTGGTCTATTCTGTTTACAATCGGTAAATAAAGTTACTGTCTAATTTTAAACCCTTTCCGAATGCCGTGTACTCTTGTAACCGGTAAATTTTGTTACCATGGCATAAGCTGGT